CGGGCCGGGCAGCGCGCCGCCGGCCTCCAGGCGCTGCTGCAGGCAGGTGCACACCACCCAGCACACGAGCGGCACGAAGCACAGCGCCAGCAGCGGCTCGTGGTCGCGCACGAAGCCGAAGGCGCGGCGCGCGCGCGCGGGGTCCCCGAAGAAGCGGCGGAAGTACTCGCGGCGCCCGGCGGCCGAGAAGCCCAGCACCTGCACGTGGCGCGGGTGCAGCAGCAGCCGCTGCAGCCGCTCCAGCGCCGCGGGCCGCGTGGTCACCAGCAGCGCGGCCGCGGGCAGCAGCCGCCGGCCCAGGAGGCTGCCGAGCAGCAGCTCGGGGGGCCGCCTCTCCTCGCAGGACCCGGCCCAGGGCGCGCGGGAGGCGTCCCCGTCCTGGAGGGAGGAGGGCTGCAGCTCGTCGAAGCCGTCGATGACGAACAGGAGGCGCTCGGGCGCGCGCAGCAGCTCCCCGAGGGGGGGCGCGGCCCCGGGCTCCGGCCAGCACCCCGCGATCAGGTCCCCGGCGCTGAGCGGCCGCGGCCCGGGGCCCCCGCGGCCCAGCTCGCGGCAGTTGACGTAGAAGAGGTAGTCGAAGCGGCCGCGGAAGAGCCGGCCGTCCGCCCAGTCCAGCATGGCCTTGCGCGCCAGCATGGTCTTGCCCATGCCCGCCGCGCCCTGCACCACCACGGCGCGCGGGGGCTCGGGCCGCTCGGCGTCCGGCTCGAACAGCGTGTCCACCTGGACGAGGCCGGCCTGGCGGGGGCGCGCCCCCGGGGGCCCCCGGCCCGCGCCCAGCAGCTCGCGCTGCGCCCCCAGCGGCGTGGGGTGCTCCTGCACCAGCAGCAGCCGCGTGTAGCGCCGGCCCAGGTTCACGCACTCGCCCAGGCGCGCGTTGCGGTCCTGCATCAGCCGGAACCTCCTGCGGACGTGGTCGCGGTAGATCTCCCGAGGATCTAGGGGAGGGGGGGCGAGACGGAGGATGTGGATGGATGGGTGGATGGAAAGGTGGATGGAAAGGTGGAAGGATGGATGGATGGGACCCATTTATTCATCCATCCATCCATCATCCATCCATCCTTCCATCCATCATCCATCCATCCTTCCATCCATCATCCATCCATCCTGCCACCTTTCAGCAAGCTCCCCCCCACCCCATCCCCCTTGAATTCGTCCTGAGCTAAAGCATGGCAAGGCCTGCGCGGCTGCCGTGGCTCAGGGGTTGAGTGTGGATCTAGGAACCAGGAGGTAACGGTTCAATTCCCAGTCAGGGCACATGTGTGGGTGGTGGGCTCGGTCCCCAGTAGGGGGCATGTGGGAGGCAGCCTGTGGATGATTCTCATCATGGATGTTTCTATCGCTTCCTCTCCCTCTCTGAAATCAATATATATATATATGTTTATGTTTATGTTTATAAATATGTATTTTTAAATATATTTTATTGATTTTCCACAAAGAGGAAGGGAGAAGAATAGAAAGTTAGAAACATTGATGAGAGAGAAACATTGATCAGTCGCCTCCTGCACACCCCCACTGGTATGTGCCTGCAATCCAGGTACATGCCCTTGACCGGAATCGAACCTGGAATTCTTCAGTCCGCAGGCCAACACTATCCAAACCGGTCAGGGCTATATTTAATATATTTTATTGATTTTTTGCAGAGGAAGGGAGAGGGCTAGAGAGTTAGAAACATCGATGAGAGAGACACATCCATCAGCTGCCTCCTGCACACCCTCCACTGGGGATGTGCCCGCAATCAAGGTACATGCCCTTGACTGCAATCAAACCTGGGACCCTTGACGCTCTATCCACTGAGCCACACCGGTCAGAGCTTGTTTAATTTTTAGAAAGAGAGAAGCATCAATTTGTTGTTGCACTCATTTATGCATTCATCGATGGATTCTTTTAAAAGACATGCTTATTGCCGAAACTGGTTTGGCTCAGTGGTAGAGCATCGGTCTGCGGACTGAAAGGTCCCGGGTTCGATTCCGGTCAAGGGCATGTACCTTGGTTGCGGGCACATCCCCGGTAGCGGGTGTGCAAGAGGCAACTGGTCGATGTTTCTCTCTCATCGACGTTTCTAGCTCTCTATCTCTCTCCCTTCCTCTCTGTAAAAAATCAATAAAATATATTTAAAAAAATAAATAAAAGACATGCTTTTTGATCTATCGGCGTGATGAGCCTGGGGACGGAAGGCCCGCAGAGCACGGACACACAGGAGGAAGCTGGGGCTGGGGTGGCGTTATGGACCCATCGCGTGCATTCCGCGGCACCCACCCTGGCTGCCTGTCCTGTTTGCCTGCTCCCTTCTCGGTTGGGTGGTGGGGCACAGGGTGCTCTGTGCCTTCGAGCAGGCACCGGGTCAGGACTCACCTTTTCTTGGCGGTCCGGCTAAGGCGTCCAGCGGGCATGCGGGCTGGCTCCCCAGGGGGCACGGGCCCCCGGGCGGGGCATCTGGAAGGGACATTTGGGGGGGTCAGTTGGCACACGTCTAGCCAGCACTCAGCAACGTTAGCTCCCAGGACCCCAGGCGGCCTGTGTGGTAACTCCCTGACCCCTCCTTTCCCAATGCTCAGCCATCACCTCACCTTCACTGCTGTCAAGAGCAGTTGTTATTTGCAACCTCCATCCCACCCATTAAAGCCCTCAGGCAGGAAGTTCCGAGTTAGCTTGACTGCCTCCCGTCCCTTCAGCTCTGGGTCGTGTCTGATCCATCATCCATCCATCCTTCCACCTTTCCATCCATCCATCCATCCATCCTTCCACCTTTCCATCCATCCATCCATCCATCCATCCATCCATCCTTCCACCTTTCCACTTACCCATCCATCCATCCTTCCACCTTTCCATCCATCCATCCATCCATCCATCCTTCCACCTTTCCACTTACCCATTCATTCATCCTTTCATCTTTCCATCCATCCATCCTTCCACCTTTCCATCCATCCATCCATCCATCCATCCTTCCACCTTTCCACTTACCCATTCATTCATCCTTTCATCTTTCCATCCATCCATCCATCCATCCATCAGTCCTTCCATTCATCCATCAATCTATCACCTTTCCATTTACCCATTCATCCATCTTTCCACCTTTCCATCCATCCATCCATCCATCCATCCATCCATTCATTAATCTATCCATCTATCCTTCCATCTTTCCACTTACCCATTCATTCATCAATCCATTAATCTACCCATCCATTCTTCCACCTTTCCATCCACCCATTTATCCATCCATCATCCATCCATCTATTTTTCTACCTTTTCACTTACCCACCCATCCATTCTTTCACCTTTCCATCCATCCATCATCCATCCATCCATCCAACAAATATATTACTGATTTCAGAGAGGAAGAGAGAGGGAGAGAGAGATAGAAACATCAATGATGAGAGAGAACCACCCATTGGCTGCCTCCTGCCCCCAACCTAGGCACGTGCCCTTGGCCAGAATCAAACCTGGGACCCTTCAGTCTGGAAGCTGACGCTCTATCCCCTGAGCTAAGCTGGCTAGGGCCATAAAAATATATTTCAACCAACCAACAAACCAACCAGGCCAAGGGGCTGGTCCAAGCCCAGGTGCAGCGCGCTCAGGACGCAGCGGGAGCAAGGAGCGGGTGGGTGTGTGTGCCGCCCCGGCCCGGCCCGCCGCCTTACCCCTCACCGGGTCCTCCCCGCGCGCTCTCTCCCACAGGTCCCTCCGGTGGATGCGCTCGAACCCGCGCAGGGCCAGGCGCCAGGCCGCCGGGGCCCCCCAGTACGCCACCAGCAGCTGCGCCACGTCCAGCGGCCCCGCCGCCTCCAGGCGCCCCCGCGGCACCGCGCGCTCCCCCGCCTCCGCCGCCAGCCCCGCCAGGTGCAGCTTGAACTTCCTCAGCTCCAGCTCCTCCAGCTCCTCCAGGTAGGCGGCCAGGCGGCACAGGCCGTCCCCGGGGGGCGCGGGCCCCGGCATGGGGGCGCCGGGCCCAGAGGGACCCCAGAGGGACCCCCGACGGGGACGAGCTGGCGTCTAGGCTGTGTCTCCCCGCGTGCCCGCCTGCTCCTGGGGCGGGAGGGACAGGAAAGCTGTTGCAATAACAGTTCCTCCCCCTGGGGATCCACAGTGGGGTTCGCTGAGAAGGGGAAGTGGGGTGAGGGTTAGGAAATCAAAATCGCAGGAGTCATCCCTCGCATGAGAAAGTCCCCCCTTCTCCCTCTCTGGCTCCCCCAAACCTGGCGCTCTCTCTCTCTCTGTCTCTCTGTCTCTCTCTCTCTCTCTCTCTCTCTCTCTCTCTCTCTCTCTCTCCATTGCTCTCACCAGTGTCTGTGGCTGAGCTGTGGGCTGGGTGGGTTGGAGACTCCGTGGGTTGGGGTGCCAGGCGGGATTCAGGACACACACACCCAGGTTTCGGGGTTGCACCTGCGATGGGGGACGGGGGCTATGGAAGGCAACTCAGAGATCCGTGGTCAGCAACCTGCGGCTCGAGAGCCACGTGTGGCTCTGTGGCCCCTGGAGGGTGGCTCTTTTCCACACAAGGCCTGGGTGGGCCTGTTTGGAAGAAGTGTAAATTTAAAAAAATGTGGCTCTCCAAAGACATTTCAGCCCTGACTGATTTGGGGCTCAGTGGATAGAGCGTCGGCCTGCAGACTGAAGGGTCCCAGGTTCGATTCCAGTCAAGGGCATGTACCTTGGTTGTGGGCACATTCCCAATAGGGGTTGTGCAGGAGGCAGCTGATCGATGTTTCCCTCATTGATTTTTAAAAAAAATTATTATTATTGATTTTTTACAGAGAGAAAGAGAGATGGAGAAACATCCATCAGCTGCCTCCTGCATACCCCCCACTGGGGATGTGCCCACAACCAAGGTACATGCCCTTGACCGGAATCGAACCCGGGACCTTTCAATCCACAGACCGATGCTCTATCCACTGAGCCAAACCGGTTTCGGCTCATCAGTGTTTCTAGCTCTCTATCCCTCTCCCTTGCTCTCTGTAAAAAAATCAATAAAATATATATTCACAACAACAAAAAACTGTGAACAAGGAAAGCGAGGGTGGGCCTGGCAGTTACCTCCGTCATCAGGAAACCCTCAGCTCTGCCTTCTCTGGTGTTTGCTGGCTGGTTGGCTGGTTTGTGTGACCTCACAGCTCAGCTGGAAAACGGAGAGGATTTCCAAACCCAGGCGTTCAAGCTGTCACACCCTTATCAGCAGGGGAGACGCTGGCCGACCCCCCAGGCGACCCGCCCAAAGGTCCTAGCAGGCGAGGCTCAGTGGACAGAGCGCCGGCCTGCGGACTGAAGGATCCAGGGTTCGATTCCAGTCAAGGGCACACGCCTGGGGTTGCAGGCTCGATCCCCAGGAGGGGGCATGCAGCAGGCAGCCGATCCATGATTCTCATCATTGATGTTTCTCTCTCTCTCCTCCCCACTTCCCTTCCTTTCTCTAAACATTAAGAAAAGAGGTAAAGTCAGAGAGCACCCCCAGGGCTGTGACTCCCGCAGCCCGGGGCCCCCAGTCCCACGGCCTTTGCTGGGGCCTGTGCCCAGGGGTTGGGAAACTTCCTGCAGAGCTGTGTCCTCACCGTCTCTGACCTCACACCTTGGCAGGAAGCGCCAGCCTGGCCGGCCCCTCCCCTGTGGGGGTACAGGGCGGGTCAGAAGGATTCTGGTTCTCCAGGCTCCCACCATCCCTGCCCTGACCCACCGGGAAGACTAGGCTACTTGCTGGTGATGTTATTAAAACGTCACAGAACAGGTCTGGCCAGTGTGGCTCAGTGGATAGAGTGCTGGCCTGCGGACGGAAGGGTCCCAGGTTCGATTCCCGCCAAGGGCACTTGCCTGGGTTGCGGCTTTAATTCCCAGTAGGAGCCGTGCTGGGAATCCCTCTCATCATTGACGTCTCTATCTTTCTCTCGCTCTCCCTTCCTCTCTGAAATCTCTCTGAAATCAATAAAGAAATATATATTTAAAAACACACACACACAATTTCAGCTTTAGCCAGTTAGAGGGTGGGCTTGTGTACTGAAGGGTTCCGGGTTCTATTCTGGTTAAGGGCACATGCGGGGATTGTAGGCTCCATCCCCAGTAGGGGGCATGTAGGAGGCAAATTATTCTCATCATTGATGTTTCTCTCTCTCTCTCTCTCCCCCCCCGCCCCCCTTCCTCTCTGAAATCAATAAAAGTATATTAAGAAGAAAAAAACAGCCGAAACCGGTTTGGCTCAATGGTAGAGCGTCGGTCTGCGGACTGAAAGGTCCCAGGTTCGATTCTGGTCAGGGGCGTGTACATTGGTTGCACGCACAGCACATCCCCGGTAGGGGGTGTGCAAGAGGCAGCTGGTCAATGTTTCTCTCTCATCGATGTTTCTAGCTCTCTATCTCTTTCCCTTCCTCTCTGTAAAAAATCAATAAAAAGAAAGAAAGAAAGACCTTCACAGAACAGCCCTGGCTGGTGCGGCTCAGTGGGTAGAGGGCCATCCCGTACACGTGCACCAAAGGTTTTGGCTTTGATCTTAATCAGGGCCCATCCCTGGGTTTCAGGCCTGATTCCCGGTGGGGGAGGGCAGGAGACAGCCATCTGACGCTTCTCTCTCTTTGACTTTTCTCTCTCTCTCTCCCTTCCTCTCAATAAAAACGTGTTGGGCCTGGCTGGTGTGGCTCAGTGGTTGAGCATTGACCTACGAACCAGGAGTTCATGGTTCAATTGCAGACTCAGTCCCCATGGGGGGTGTGCAGGAGGCAGCCGATCCATGCTTCTCTCTCATCACGGATGTTCCTCTCTCCCTCTGCCTCAGACTTCCTCGCCGCAGCTAGTTTTAGGAGCGATTTCGCTGACTGGGGGTCGGGTACGACCATGGGGACCAGCACTGGCTGAGCTGTAACCACCGCAGGCCGCCAGGTGAAGGCCCTGGAGGAAGTGAATGCGGCAGGCAGGTGTCTGTGTTAGCTAAGAAGCAGATTGTAGCTTCCCTCACACAGCTAGGAAACTGAAAAACACACACCTTTCTCTCTCTCTCTCTCTCTCTCTCTCTCTCTCTCTCTCTCTCTCTTTTAATTTTATTGATTATGGTATCACATAATTGTCCTCATCCCCCCATTCCCATCCCAAACCCCTCCCCACGTATGTCCCCACCCCCCTGTTGTCCATGGCCACTGGCCAGGCCCATATGCATGCACACAAGTCCTTTGGTTGATCTCTCCCCCTCACCCCCACCCTCCCCTACTTTCCCTCTGAGGTTTGAGAGTCTGATCACTGCTTCTCTGTCTCTGCGTCTGTTTTTGTTCATCACTTTATGTTGTCCATTATTTCCTCTAAATGAGTGAGATCATGTGATCCAAGAAATACCCTTGTAAGAACCGAAACGAAGACAAGCCATCATGGTTTTGCTGAGAGGCCAATGAGTCAGTCTGCAGTGAGTTCCTTTCTGGGCCAACAGTTCTTTTGAGTCCCCATTTCAATGTCCAACAGTTCCTTGTGTGTACATGTCAGCCATGCTATTTCAGATCTGGTTGGTGGACACATGGTGGTGATGCAGGTCGGACCGTCTCTGGTTTGGTCCTGGGCGTCCTTCAGGGACCCGCCGCTGCTGTCTGCTGGTATGGCCAGGCGTCGTCCGCGCCTTCCGTCTCTGGACTGCTTCTCTTCTGTCTGCATGGCTGCAGCGCTCCGTCTGTCCTCTCTGTTACAGGAATCCAGATGGTCTCGGGGTTGTTTTCTTACTTCTGGGACTTCTGCCCTTCCCTGGGTGCAAACTATCTCAGCAGCTGCGTCTCCTCGCCAACTTCGGGCTGAATTCCACTCGTTCCAGCTGCTCCCTCCACCCGCTCCGGGACAAGGCTCCGGACACGCCCGTCTCTTCCGCCGCCATCTTCCCTCCCACACACCTTTCTCTTAAGACTCATGGCCCAGCAGTCACTTGGGGCAAGAGATATCAAAATATTTCATTTATTTATTTTAAAAAATATATTTTATTGATTTTTCACAGAGAGGAAGAGAGAGGGATAGAGAGTGAGAAACGTCGATGAGAGAGAATCATTGACCAGCTGCCTCCTGCACACCCCCTACTGGGGATGTGCCCACAACCAAGGTACATGCCCTTGCCTGGAATCTATATATAAATATATGTATGTGTATATATATACATATACACACACACACACACACACACACACACATATATATATATATATATATATATATGTTTATATGTTTATATGTTTATATGTTTATATGTTTATAGTTAATGATTTCAGAGAGAAAGAGGGAAAGAGAGATAGAAACAGCCTGCATTTATATTTATTATATTTATATATTATATATTATTTCTATTTCTATTTTGTTTATATTTCTATTTTGTTTATATTTTTATTTTAATATTTATATTTGTTTAATATTTATATTTATATTTATATTTATATTTATTTATATTTTTTATTTTTAACAATTTCAGAGAGGAAGGAAGAGGGAAAGAGAGAGAGAAACAGCCTGCAATCCGGGCATGTGCCCTTGACCCGAATCCGACCCGGCCACGGAGCCAAAACAAACCTTGGCGCGGTTAAGGCTGACCTCTGACTTTGGCCTCTCAGCGCAGGCCGGGCCTGTGTCTGCAGAGGGCCCCACCGCCCGTAGAGGGCGCTCCGACACAGGGAGAGCAAACAGCCAGCCACCCTGCAGGGGAGTGAACCCAGGGGCGATAAGATAAATAGAATAAAACAATAAAACAATAAAATAAAATTAAAAATAAAATAAAAATAAAATAATAAAATAAAATAAAACGAGGAGGTGAGGGCGAATCCACTGACTCCCTGGAGGCGGGCGTGCGGCCAGCTCGAGGGCAGCCAGGTTCAGAGGAGGCAGTGAGACGCAGCATTCCATTGTTCTCTCAGGAAGGCAGCTCCGGGTGATTTCCACCGGGGACAGGCCGGGAGGGCAGGCCGGGAGGGCAGGCCACACACCCTGCAGCTCCTGGCAGCGGCTCCCGCCTGCCTCCCCCGGCGCCGCCCGCAGACCGGCCGGAGTCT